TCCCGGGAAGCTGGGGCGAGCCGTGTAGAATCATGGGAGAAGATGACTGAATCGCCATGGTCCTCCAGCGCCTCTAGGCAAGCAGTCTTGTTATCTTGTGTGTTATGGGCTAGCCTCATATCGGAACAATTTTCGTATCACTGAGGGTTGGGCTGAGCACAAGCGCTGAACCATACACTTGTAAAGGGCTGTCCTGTTCTCTATTGCACAGTCATCGCAGTGAATAAAACGGTGTGCATCTTCGATGAGGTTGATCAATTGAAAGTCTCTTGAATTCGCCTAAGTTATTATTAACATCTAAATGCCATAGCACATATGCTTGGAGGCTAACTTGAACTCAATGCTCCAGTTTTAGCATTGAAAGAACGCCTTTCGAGACATCTCTCAGAAGACTAAGAGCCTCCAGCCATTGAAGAAGTGAAGATACTTTTTCCGTAAGAAATCCTGGATTACACTGCTGTCTTGGAGGCCCTTATCCTTTTGCGCGGTCTGACTAGAATAACAATCACAGAGATGCTCGACCCAATAGTTGCAAAAATACGATGCTTCAGCTAGTCGATCTTGTTGGGGTCGTCTGATCCGGGTAACACGAAACCCAGGCGCATTCAAGGAGTTATTGTCACACTGTAGAATCCTTTTCATACTCTCAAAAGACCTTGAGAAGATCGTACGGTAAATCTTCTCCGTCTCGAAAAGACACAGTGGAATCCTTGCCCCAAGTTAAATATGTTTCCACCTAGCATTCATCAGAACCATCAATCACCAAGAAGACACTGTTTAAAGTATGGTCTTCACGATCTCAATAAAAATCTGAGACACGGCGAACCATGAATTTACGTCTTCATACAGATCGGACTTGTTCCGCACATGTGATATTAGCGACGGCTGCTAATCAATCAGCTGGCGGTTAAGGCCACAAAGGACGGCTGTAGCGTTGCTAATTCATGAATTGGTAGCTTGACAGAAGAAAGAATGACAAGAAACTGAATTTCCTAATTGACTCATTCAACTTATCCATGATGCCATGCCACACAACAGCATCGTCTTACCCTTTCCAGGGTTACTGTCGGATTAGTCGGTTCATTCCAGGCCAATGCTGAAGAGTGTTTTTACTAGGATGAAAGGAAAAGAAGTGACTAGCAAGATTGTGTGTGTTGAGTTCTGTCTCTCTCTATCCATCAGGTTTCAAAGCCGGGTCCTTTATAGACACCTTTGGCGGGGTGAATTGTAAGCTATCAGGAGGGGTAAATATTGGGCTGAAATCTAGGTGCCCAGATATATGCCTAAAGGTGCCTTTTAGACCTGTAAGATTGAAACAGTCGATCTCTCCGCCTCGTTTGAAAGCCAGATTATCTGACAGTTACCCTAGACTCAAAGAAGTCGGCACAGTAGACTATCACACCATTATTGGAAGTCGAGATTATTTACCCAGATATATACGTCTTTCAGGAGGTTGCCATTAGCCTATCGGATTCGCGCCTTCTTATTTTCGAGATCGGTCGCCCACAAGTCCTTGAGATAATACTAGCGGTCCCTCTGTCATCCGTAATATGTGGAATACTTAACAGTCTCAGTTTTACTCTATAGATAACACTAAGGCTATAACCGAGTACCCTAAATCTTACTCCCGACGGATCGAATCAACTCCCAGAGCAGCCTGTGAGCTGGCCACGCATTCTCCCGTCTTATGATTTCTCTTGTTACTCAACATCTCTGGATGTTTGCAGATTACGGGTGGTGCCGTGCCAGGTAGGATATATCCCAGGGACTTGAGTACGAGTCAGGCACAGCGCACTCCTTCTCTACAGTGACTGACATGTCGTTGAATAACATTGCTAATGTAATTAACATAGATTAAAGAAAGTAGGTACTGTATTAAACTAAATCCCATAAATATGTACAAAGACAAAAGCGAATGGTTCTAAAAACTTTCAGATCTGCGAAAAATACATGAATTTACCCTCCTTAGGCCTGATAAAACACATCAGCATCGAGATCAGAAGCAGAGCATTTGACCAATAATAAGGGGAAACTGATGAATGTCAAATAGAATATAGATCCGCGACAGGTGATATTTTGCGTGACCTTCAGCGAATGCTGCATCCCATGCAATTCCCTCGTTCCTTCTCATGTGAAGGTAGTCCACCGGCATGGAGACCACTAGATACTCTCCTCAACACATGTATACGGATAGCATAAACGCTCGATTCGGTATATCCTCCACCGTCGCACTACAGATTGATATATTAGCTAGACAGAGTTCATGAAGTATACTGTATCTAAGGAGAGTGGGAAGGGGCGCTGGTGCCCCCACAAGGAGAGCCAGTGGTCAAGATACTCTGTGCCTGTTGAGCGTAGTTGCACCCATCAATCACATTTTTATCAGAGAAAGCAGCGTTCCACATCATAATACCACCCCACTTTGAGCTGTCGTGGAAGGATGACACGGTACTTGCGAGGGCACTTGGACACTGGTAGTAGGCGGCCCCGGTCTCGGTGCCAGTGGAGCCAAGCTCAGAGGCAGGGACACCGATGAAGATTTTAGCATTAGCAGAAGGAGTGCCAGAGACGTATGAAACCCAGTCCTTGTAGTTGAGGGTGTTAGGGTACGAGCAGTATCCATTGTTATAAAACTGCACCCAGAGATAATCAAATTGAGCGGCCCGAATAATTTCTCCCATATTAGGCTCCGGGATGGGGCATTGGGGGGCACCAGTAATATAGTAAGTATTGCTCGGATCTGATACAAAGTTGGAGCGGAGCTTAGCAATCATATACTGGTAGTACTGATTGCCGCAATTGGCTTCAATATCAAAGTCCCAACCATTGACGAACGTAGCTCCGAATGGTCGTGGCACACTTCCTCCAGAGGTCTTTCCATAGGCATCCCAGAGATTTTGGCCGATTGTTTCTGCTTCGGCCTGAGACGTGAGGGAGTAGGCACCAACAGCACCACCAAGCGAAAGGATAACCTTGACACCATTTGATTGGCAAGTTGCAATCTGTTTAGCGAGAGCGTCACAGTTGGTGCCCTCACCAGAAGTACTAATAGAGCAATCATTGCCAATAACACCTGAAGGGATTGTAATACCGTTTCCGTACTCGTAGAGGAAAGAAAGCACAACAATATTGATACCGGAGCCCGCAGTGCAATAATTCGAAAGATCGTTGTTTTCACTTGCTGCGGCCGCGTTCTGCCCCCAATAAACAACAACTTCACCACCAGGGCCACGTACCTGTAGTCTGTGAGAAGCACCCATAGTGGAGCTGGCCATAAGGGCAAAATTGATAAGAACAGTTGAGATTTGCATGGTTATTTACTGAGCTGTATCTGGCAAGTAGGCTAGATAGCTAGGCTTAGAAAGTTATATATCGGTGTTCTTTAATGATTTAATTAGCGTTAAACTAGTGAGAAAGTTGAAAGCAGAGACAGGCTCGTAAATTGAGGGAGAGATAGTTAGAACCTTGCGTAGAAGGTGAATCAAGGATGATTAGTTTAGAGGCTAAGTGACATCTATATATAAAAGCTCCAAGTGCTGAACCTTACATTTCCTATTTTAGAAACGCGGTCAGGATCTCGAAAAATTGCCAAACCCCTAACGCGGCCTATTTTCGGTCAATAGATGACATATTTTCTTTTCCGGTTCTCAGGAGGAGAATGATTACGTTAAATGTCGACTAAATACTGTAGCTATACTGTTCTCTACCGTCTCGTGCACAGAACCACATCATGCACGCTCTCCCCCATATCAAATCTTTACTTTTTTAAATATTTATTACTGCATTACACTCTCAACCCATTATATATATTTGGAGCGTGAACAGCCCTCATTTAAAATGGATGAAAAAGTTACATGATTTGGGGCTTATCCCACCATTTGAAACAATAGCTGTTATTATAATGCTTATCTATATTAGGTAGTTCCATGCAATTGCCCTATCATAATAAATGGCAATTCATTTCAATCGACGTACCTGAGAATGCGGTAAAAATTTAGGGTGGTGATACAGCCACACCCCAGTTGGATCCATACACACCCCCTTATGTTCGAGCCACACCCCCCCTAAAAGCGGTTTAAAACAATGATCATGTGACTCAAAACGCGCCCTCGACTCTCGTGGGGTTCTGACTTTTGAGATGGAGAATGGACTAGTGTCAGGGCTTAGGGCTTAGGGTCAGGGTATATAGATAAGGATTCCAGCAAAAGGCACATTATTGAGTAAAGCCAGTCATTGTCTGCTTTGCTCTTTGATTTGTTACATTCCTTTTGAAATTTCTCAATATGAAACTTTGTTGGAAATTTCCATTGTTTCTATGCAGAATTTGTCCTTCAGTTCAGTCTTATGAGGACTATGGTGATCCTGCTTTTCTTTTCTTCTCCATAGGTCGTCTAACTTGTCTTGTTAGAGTGAATTAAACTTTCACCTAGTTTACTTCTAATTCCCTGTCTTTGAGTCGTACCTATTACAGAGCTGGAATGGAGAGATAGAGAGCTAGGAAATGACAAAATGTATGTGTCAATTTAGCTGGCGTGACTCGTCACGGCAACCCTGTTGTGCTGTTACACTGCTACGTTCGCTAGCAATCCTAATTCTTGTATGCCCATTTCTAGTAGCTTAGGATTAGGACCTATTAACAGGAATAGCCTCACGGAATTCCCTGGTAACATACGATTACCTATTTGGGACGGCGGTGCTGTATTGGGACTAGCTTGAGCGCACATAATAGAAGTGGCCTCATTCTTCTCTTCTGCTACTGAGTAGAGACATCCAGCTATATCAATATAGCTATTCACCATGACATCGCGTCTCGTTAATTACGAAAGCTCAGAGGATAGTGTTAAGCCATTACCTGAGCCATTACCTCCCAAAGAGCCTTGCAAACCACATACTTGAATCCCTGCTCCTTCAATTGACTAGACCTTTGAGACCCAGGATGCTGCTATGAAATTCCTTAATAGCTTTACCAAGACTTATGGATATACATTGGTCACAAAGAGATTCAAAACGCCAAAAGAAGGTGGCCCTATTTACCGAGTTTACCTTCAGTGCAGCCGCGGAGGAGTATATCGTGAGCGTACCAACAAAAAGACACGTGTCAGAGAGACAAGCACACAGTGTATAGGATGCCCATTTAGACTTATCTTGCGCCATAACAAGCACGCAGATTGCTGGTGTCTTGATCTTACAGATCCAAGGCATAATCACCATTCAGCAACTGGATCAACACTTGCTTCGTTACGCCATGAAGAGATAGAATCTAAGGAGACTCAAATTAAGTCTTATTTGGATTCGAAAATGTCAACAAATCAAATCTTATCAACCCTCTATAAAGAAAATCCAGAATCGATTATCAAGCCAAGAGATATCTACAATAAGAAAAGGAAACTGCGAGATGATTTCCTTGATAGCAAGACACCAGTCCAGGCCCTTATTAGTGTTATTCCAGATAATGGTGATTGGATAATTAACTATGGAACAAGTGATACAAATACACTACTTGCTATATTCTATATACATAAAACTTCACTCGAGATGCTCCGCCAAAATTCTAACATTCTATTCATGGATTATACCTACAAAACAAACCAATATAAGATGCCGCTCTTGGATATCGTAAGTTGTACAGCATGCAATAAGATGTTTTATGCAGGATTTGGCTTTATGTTAGATGAAAAGGAAGAGAGCTACAAGTTCATCTTAGAATGCTTAGCTAAGGTCTATGCTCAAGCAAATCTCCCGTTGCCAAACTGTATCCTGACTGATAAAGATATGGCCTTAATGAATACAATCCCCACTGTTTTTCCAATGGCAGACAATATCATCTGTCTTTGGCATATTGAAAAGAATATTCTTACACATGTCCATCCTATTCTTACGAATAAAGTGCTTCATACAATCTATTTTGGAGACCCAGCCGCCACAAAGAAGGATGTCACATAGTACAAGACTTATATTAAGTTAAAATGGAGGAACTTTTTCGGGTCATTCAACAAGATTGTGTACGCGAAGACTGAGGAGGAGAAAAACGAAGCGGTGAATGCCTTTAAAGCTAAATACAGCAGTGATATCTGGCAGGAAGTCATGAACTACATTAATTCAGAGTGGCTTAATGATGACATCACTTAACGATTCCTTCATTGCCATCTCTCAGATGTTAAGCATTTTAGCCAGCTAACCATATCCCGAAATGAATTAGCCCACTGGACACTAAAACGTGACCTTCAAGTCTCTACAAACGATCTCCTAGAGACATTTGAATCATTTGACCGTACTGTGACCCGTCAACATGTTATAATCAAGCAGACTCACGAGGATGATAAGGTACGGTATCAATTTCGCTTCCGTCAAAGTCTCTTTCGCATTGTACGCGGTAGAGTATCAAGTTTTGCGCTTGGGAAGGTTCTTAATATGAAGAATGACTTTCTTGGCCCGACAAAGAAGCCATTTAACCCAGAGTATTCTGGAATCACGAAACGGACCATTGGCATTCCTTGCATTCATATAATTAAGCACTGTATCGATAGTGAGGAGCCACTACAGCCATATCATTTCCACCAGCACTGGCAGTTATACTCTTCCGAAGAGTTGCCTCTAATTGATCCCCATATAATAGTGCTCAACCCGGCGGTGGTCCAAGGTCGTGGTCGCCCCAGAGGCTCAATCAACCATCCAATAGCCTCTCAGGCTATATCAATACGGGATTCTTCAATACGGAGAGAGCTATCAGCATTCGAGCATGTTATTGCGCAGGGGAATCTTAATACTGGAAGTCGAGGCCGCAGGGGCAGGGGTCGTGGGGAATGAGGAGGATATTCAAGTCAAGCTAGGGCAGAGAGCATTGTGGCCAACAGTCAGACTGCTAGTAGAGAAATGGTCTCGCAGGATGCAACCGCAACAGCTTCGCAAATTGCCTCAGAGGGTCCAGTCAGACGGAGCCAGCGACGTGGACGTAGCCAGCCAGTGCGGTGGCTTGGCAATGAGAACGAATTACCAGGATATTAGGGCTTAGAGATATGCTAAGCAACGGCTCTGGCTCGGTGGAACAGTGTATTATTAGAATCATTAAAATAGCAGTAGGGGATAAATAATGAATCAAAACAGAATTCACTGGGACGGTCTAATCAGGGTTGCTCTAAACCGCTTTTAGTGGGGGGGGGGTGTGGCCTGATCGAGCCAACGGGGTGTGGCTCGAACATAAGGGGGTGTGTATGGATCCAACTGGGGTGTGGCTGTATCACCACCCAAAATTTAAGTGTGTCGCAAAAACATGATGAGACAACCCCGCGATCCTCTCCTGCATACCGCAAGGACAGTCACTGAATATCTTATTGTGCAAGTGCTGTTCCCATAACCGACGGACATTGATACGCAATTGTCGATGTAATGCAGCCCACGAAGCCAGGTGGTCCTGCGAGAGATCCAAGCTTCAAGTGTGATGTCCAGTTTCCCATTGCTCAAACACACATCCAGGCAGCGTTCGAAGCAGTCATAGCAGACGCTGCAAGCCTCAGATGGCAAAGTTTGATCCAACCTTTGCAGTAGATATGACGCAATCGTGGTGAGAGATTTGGAGGATGTGAAGTCATTCGCAATGAGAAAAGCTCCTTGTAAGATAAATGTAGCATGGATGCAGCCTGCGGGTATATAGGTGGCATGGGTGCGGTTGTCGGCACTATCACCCTCCTCCCAACTGATGATAATCCGCATGAGCTTTACTCGTTGGCTGTCCGCCATCTTCATAGCCTTAGGTTGGCTTCTTCAACAGCCATATCTTTCGGCAATCGCCAACCAGAGTCGACATACTCTGGCAGCGTTAGCACGACGTCTCCTCCGGTCGACGGTGAGAACCTACCAATATGAAGGTCAACAAAAGAGAGTGTTAGAGCCATATTGACCTAGATGTTGCATTCTTCTTCCAGCTCCACGACCGTACAAAGGTCATATGGACAGCGAAAGCCGCAGTTCTCCACAAACGGCAGTCGTGTACCCGTGAGTAACGCAGGACAGCACGGGTCCGGGTCAACTAGTTGTGCAAGGACGATTGTAGGATCGATTGATTCGTTAACTTCGCCTTGATAATTGATCCGGAATTCCTCTTCGGAAGTAGACTGAATCTGTTTGCTCCTGATTTTAATCAGCGCGGCGACGACTGCTACAAATGATCAGACCGTTGGTGGACGTCATCTAAAGGGTACAGAGTACAATGCTTCAGGCCACCGAACGCGGCTTCAAAGCTCTCCTGAATTTCTTTCAAGGCTTCACGTACAAAAACCGGGATAGGCCTAATTTGTCCTCTCTTGCTGAGGCTGAACCTTTCGCCATGTTTATCATTTCCCCATAAAAGGGGGCGACGATCCAGTGAGTTATTTCTGTTATTTTACTGTCGCGGCCAAAATGTCCTTTCTTATTTTGGACAGTGAGATTTGTTCCCGAACCCTAATACCAAGTTATCCTAGCTATATACAGTTAGTACCATGACTAGCTTTTCTGTTCCTGTACTGAAACCATAATACTAAATGGAAAGAAATATCCTGTTGGATTGTATGTGACAATCTCTAGCGGTTTATCTCAACGTATCAAATTACGTATGCACAAGATGTGGGAATCCTTGATCCTTGTTCTTGTTCTTGTCTCTAAGTACAGTCCCGGTGGAAGATATCTTTTTTACCCCCTATTCGGTGGATCAGTGTGTGGCTCGCTATTATTGGCTGACAAATCCCTTCTGTCTGATTGGTTGAATCAGCTTAGCTAATCCAACATATCCAAGCAGACTGTATTATTACAGGACTAAAAATAGATAAAAATACATCCTGTCTATCACGTCACTTGCTATGTCACCTGAATTCAGGAAATCTGTCTCTTCACATCAACTCAACAAAATGGCCCGACATATGAAGCCCTGGCGTTGTATAATAATTATTTATATGATACAGTGGTGTGTGTGTGTGTGTGTGTCATTATTTTACGGCCATAGGCAGTGATGAATGATGAATCACTGCCTACCCATTCCCTAGTGGGACCAGTGTTGGCAATAATTAGTTCCCGCTTGAATTAATTCCGGATAATTCTTATCCCGAATAAGAATAATTAATTCAAATTAATTCATGATAGTCGGCAGAAACTTACCGCCTATACGGTATACACTACGATTGAACACTTTCTCTGAATTCTACCCTGTCCATATCCTGTCTTGTAATACTGCTATACAATATGGATTCTGACGCAGATTCATCTAATTTCCTACATTTGTCTACTATTGATTCAGTTGAAACTGAGTCAAAAAAGGGAAGGACGCCAATGGCTCAGGCAGTATGGGCTCATACTCGTCCAGCTCACAACGGAGAGGCTCAATTTTACAAAGGTCGATCAATTCAGTACTGTATATACTGCCAAGAATCATCATACAGTACTTATATTACTACAAATATGCGAAATCATCTCAAATCAAAGCATCAGATCTTTGTCGAATCCGTTCCAAGTACACTACAGCAAACAACAATCGACCAACTTCAACAACTTTATCTTACAGCAGCATCCTCCGGTCAGACACAAGAAGTCGATGCTCAGGCTTTTCAAAGGGCTTTGAATCAAGATATTATTGATGATGCATTGGTCTCATTAATTGTTACACGAAACCTTCCATTCTCTCTTGTTGAATGGCCGGAGTTTCATACTTTTTGCCAAGTACTGAATCCGGAGTCACGCAGCTATATTATTACAGCACATAACTCTATCCCTAAGAGGATTGAACAATCGTGGCAGGCACAAAAGGACGTTATACGAAAAAAGCTCCAGTCAGCAGTATCAAGTATCCATCTCTCACTTGGTGTATGAGGTCCGTGACGCGCTAGCCGATAATCGGGCCCTTCGGGTAACTCAAATATGCCAGCGAATCCAGCCAAAAATACCGCGTGAGTTACGCTAGAGCCCTCAGTTGCAGGGATTATTTTGTATGCAGTTATCGCCCAGTTACCCGTTTCAAAGTGATGTATGAGGTCCCCGGAACGCGTCCGCCCTCAGTAATTACGCGTAGGTATGGAAATCAAGCTCCTCTTTTTATCCACCACCAACTCTGCCTATCTACTGTTGCATCGATTCTGGCTGACTAAATGCAGTGTGGAGTCACGGAAATAGACGCGCTATCGCGCATCGCCGCTGGCCTGATTGTCAGGGTTGATTACGCGATGGACCGGCTCTTGAGCCTCCTTCCAAGGACGGCTCCTCTACAGATACAGGTCCCTGACATCGCGACCACCGAGATCGAGCCTCCCCGACCGGAAGATATCGCTATACAAAAGGCTCTTGATGAGGTCCTTGAGTATCATAGAGTTCACCGGCCTAAGATTACAACGAAAAACTATGAGCCAAAGCAGAAGGAGTGGAAGGTAGTTATTAGGTTTCTCCTCGCTTTTCACATACTCCAAGTGCTAACTCTGAGGTCCTAGGCCTGGTGCAAAAAGATGGGCTTCAAGGAAGGCGGCAGATATCTTCCAGGAGACTATGTTGACGAAGGGAAGCTCCTCCTCTTTATTAAAGAGGAAGTTGCCAGCCACCCTCCACGCCGCGGACAGAGGCTCAAGGCAGAGAGGAAGCGCAAGAGAACAGAAGCAGTAGAAGTACTGTCAGAAGGGCCTCCCTCTAAGCGGAAGAGAGAGAAGATCAGTGTTCCCTCTATGGCGTTTGAAGAGCTACCTATTGAGAGAGATGATGACGAGGTTTGCTCTGAACTTGTCCTGATGTACAATACTGTACGAAGCTATTGCTCTGCTATTAATGAGCTCTGGGCACATCAGACCTCATTAGGCCTCCATAATGCAGCGCGACCACAGAGGGTGGCTATGACTGCTCTGAAGACATCGATTGCCCGAGGCCAGCACCAAAGCCGACGTGATGAGTTTACGGACCGTGGGCTAGCTACTATACGAGATGGATATGTTGCTTCTCAGATTCCTGATCTTACAAGAAAGGTCTGGGCCCAGTGTCTAGGACAGAATCAGATTGAGCAACAGTTCCGTACACAGCTATGCTTTCTTTTTGGCAACTCTATGCTGCTAAGATTAAGCAATCGGCTGCCTATGGAGCTGCCAGATCTATTCTCAATGCCCCTGCCTAGTGAAGGGCCAAAAGGCAAAGGCTGGTGTCTTGTTACTGTGATGGACCAGGGTAAAACAAACCAACATGGCCGGCTTGAGTATGGGGCAGCTCTGCGGCATCGAGATCATCAGTCCTGTCTTATAGGTGCTCTAGCAACCTATTTCTTCTGGAGATGGCACTGTTCTGGAGAGTCGTTCCCTTATTTCCGGACCAGTCAAGACTGGTATAGTATTAAGGTACTTAAGCGAGATAATAATCACCTTACTAAACCTCTAAGCGATAGTATAGCGGTATCCTAGACTCGACGCCTATATAGTAAGGCAGGGATTAAGAGCTCTAAGGTAACAGGTCTCTGGGGCCAGACTTGCTGAGTTGAATGGAGTCTCTGAAGATCAGGTAAGTAAGCTCTATCATCTCTATCTATTTAAGTTAACCTCCAGCCTCTAGATTCGCCGGGGCGGTCGCTGGAATGCAGACCAGATGACTGGTTGTTACTTGACTACTCTGCCTCGATCCTTCATGCGTGGTATTGCAGATTTTGACCCTGACTGGTCATCAAGCTATTACTTGTTTCGGGAGACTGTCTGCCCTCCACCAGCATTATTAAAGCGTGTGTGGCCAGACCTGGATAGGTGGCAAGCAGCACATTTAGAAAGGACAGATGCAACTGAGAGAGTAGAGCCAAATATTGCTGCTGGTGGATTTCTAGAACTATTACAGAGGCTTAGAACTGTATTCTTACAGGACTCTGTACTCTGGCGGACGGAGTTTCCTAGCCACCCGATATTCCGAGACCCTCTCTTTCAGATGGCAGAATATAAGGCCTTTGAGTTAGATATTCATATGGCTGTTACAATAGCCATGGAAGAAGATCCTCATTCTATCGCTATTCAAAAGGCCATCCCTGCTGTAAACGACCGGCTTCGTACAATGACTGCAGCTATTCAGACTGGCCAGGTTACTCATTCACGAGCCCTTCGCTCATTAGAGGACTTAATGGTAAGCCGAATAGATCAACTAACAGCCACTATCAATGACTCTATTGGTGGTACCTTCACCTGTCAATTCGTGCCTAGAGGCCAGATTGTTCCGCCCCCTGTCACAGGAGCAGCCTTTGGCCCTACAGCGCCTATTCAACTTCCTGTGACGACGCTTGAGAAAGCTTCACAGGCACCGCAATATCGTATGTTGAGGAACACTACAACAATCCCAGAACTGTGGAAAGAGTGGACTGTCGGGCTCAATGGCCAGCTTTCAATTGAGAGGCTCGATGAGCTCTATGGCTCTGGCTGGCGCTCAGGGCCTGAGAGCTCTGCTGAACGCCAGTTCTATTCTCGAAGGAAGACTCTCATTAATGAGATTAGAAGACTGGCTACTGTTGAAGATGCCTCTTTAGGGGATCCCTGTCAAACAGTTGTAGCAAAGTTAGAGGAAGAGCGGATACGGGCTGGTGCTTCACTAAGCAAGTTAATAGATGCTTTAAAAAGGTCATAGTGTTTGTTAGCCAACTAGTAAAAAGCAATTCATTAGACTACTTATCTAATTGTTCACCTCTTTTCTTTCTCAGTCTAGATATCTAACCCTAAGATTTGAACAATACCATACCTTACCTAGCATTCTTGACTTGATTGGTTGTCAGCGGAAGGAGACTCTACTATCTTGTCATACTCTCATAACTTCTTCATTTGTAGGTATTTTCTCTTCTAATTTAGCTACAAGATAAAGCTCCAAGCCTATACTTTGGAGTTCAATTTTCTAGCTCATTGATTAAACGGATGTTGGTATATTGCGATCTGAATATCTTGGTATTGATGTTCCAGGGCAGTTACCGAAAACGCGCTGTAACTCAGTTATTCCCCACTAAAAAGCCCCTCAGATATCCTTCTGATATTTGGACTTCCCCAAATCGGCTTCTTTTCCTTGGAATTTGTGCCCATTTTGTTGAACAGAATCAGGAAAAGTTATCAAAGGCTCTCCTTGCTCTCCGAATAGTGGCAAATCATAGTGGAGAGGAGCAATTTGCAACTCTTCTTCCAGTCCTAGAAGACTATGGGATCATACAGAAGCTTGGGGCTATTGTCTGTGATAATCATACTGCCAACAACAAGCTTTGTCGTATAATTTCCAAGCATCTCATGGAAGCAAAAGAGATTAAATGGGATCCAACATATAGACGCATCTTCTGTATTGGTCATGTCATCAACTTGGCTGTGCAAGCTTTCCTCTTTCAAGATGTGGTTGAGGCAGAGGAACTCAGCTCATACGATGAAGCAGAAGCAAAGGGAGAGGACGGAGATGATGCAGATAATATACAGATGCGAGCCAAATTTCGAGCTTTAGGGCCACTTGGAAAGCTTCACAATATGTGACACACATTCGTGGCTCAGCTAGTCGCACAAAGGAGTTCAAAGATTTTGCTGGGAGATTGATTCCACTTGACAATCGTACCAGGTGGAATAGCTGGTATCATATGCTTCATGTGGCTCTTCAGTATGAGGGTGCTGTTGATGTCTATACAAAGAAGCATTTTGATACTCTTGAGGTAGACTATCTATCTCCTATCGACTGGGAAAAACTTCGGACAACAAGCAAATTCCTAGGTCTCTTTGAACATGCAACTCTAAAAACTCAAGGAGATCAAGCAACAATTGACAATGTGCTTTTTATAATGGATGCTATTATTAAGCACTTTGAAAATGCTAGAGTAAGTCTACCCATTTCAAAGTAATTGTTATCTTAGCATAACAAGAGGCAAGGCTCTCGACTTAACTTGAAGGAGCCAGTAGTAGGGGAGACCCTATGAAAAGCTGCTAAATGAAAGAATTTCACAGTATTTTATAAATCCTACTAATATTCTATGGCAGGTCGAGCATGCATCGGATAAGGAATTCTGTGCTCGGATTCAAAATGGCTGGGATACCTTTGATAAGTACTACAGCAAATCAGATGACTCGCCTCTTTATGCTGCGGCACTTATTCTTCATCCAGCTCGTCGTACAAAGTATATTCAAGCAAATTGGAGAAAGACTTGGCAAAAGCCCGCAATCCAAAAGGTCAAAAAGCTGTGGGAAGAGTATCGAGAGAAAGCACCTTTTCATATAGTTATGCCATTATATGAAAAGAATACAACCCAAGATCTTGATGAACTAGATCAAATTCTTCAAGACTTAGGTAATTTTGCTCGACCAGCTAGTCAGGATGAATTTGAAGATTACAATTCTGAATCGCCATATCAGATTCGCACAAGCGCTCTAACATGGTGGTGTCAGGATCAACAACAGAAGAGGTGGCCAAGGCTTTCATATATGGCAATTGATATTCTATCAATCCCAGCAATGAGCGATGAACCTGAGCCAGTCTTTTCAGGAGCGCGTCGTACAATTACCTGGGAAAGAGCGCAGTTATCAGCCGAAAATATTGAGAGAATAGAATGCCTAAAACACTGGCAAAAGAGTGGCATTTCCAAGGAAAAACTTGAGGAATAGCTAGTTAATACTGTGAATTATATATTTTTAAACCACAATATCATAATATTGAGTGAGGTACTGGGATCGAAGGAGTTTACTAAGCATGGGAGAGGAAGGGAAAGGAAAAAAATAGCTAGGCCTCCGATCGCCCATACAAATAGGGGGTAGTTACCTAGTTAACTATTAACTAACTTGTTTAGGTAATCCGGCTAGTGCCTTGAATTATTCGAATTATTCGAATTATTTATCTAGAATAGGAATTATTAATCCGAGCCTAATTTATTAATTATTGCTAAGCCTGAGTGGGATAAAGGCCGCCAGGGAGTAAGCCCTGGGTGTCAAGAATTATATACAAGATGTGACTCTTTGGCGCACTTACATGGCTGCCGTAGTCAGATATATAACCTCTACATGTAGAGGGAGAATGTTGCTGCCAGCTGCAGTGGTCCACCTACTCCCTGTAACTAAATCTAATATGTTCAACACCAATGCAGCTTTAAAGAGGGAAAAGGAAAGACAATAAAAATAAAGGAAATAATTAGTTATAAGTCTCTTAGCTTATGTACTAAGAGGGAGGTGTCGAGGGCAGATGTCCTCAAAGAATTGGGTCTCCGTAAGCTATTTAGCTAGTCTAATGGCACCCTTTAGGGTGCCTAAGAGGAAAGGAATAACTTCTGAAGGGTGTCCAGGGAATCTAGAAGCTTTCCTTTTTGCAATCTGGTAGAAGATAAAGTGGATTAGGGACTTTTGCACTATATTGACATAAGAGATGGGTATCTGTGTGGTTGAACTGTTCATGGTAGTCTGCGAAGTCTCCGTGCTTTGTGCATACTGCGAGGATTTGTCCTAAGATATAGTAGGGAAGCTGGAGTTCTGCTGGACATCTTGAGAAGGTAGTGATTTTAAGGTCTTGATAGGCCTGCGGGGCCGCTAACTGTCAATACGTCTGTGCTCTTGAGGCGGCTTGTGATCTGGTATGTCGCTTAAGTGCTGCATATGACCATGGATGAGAGGTAGGGATGGTTTTCTCTGTGCCCTCTTTAGTGGCGCAGTCTGCTGCTTTATTTCTAGGGATATTCGCATGTCCAGGCACCCAGCGGATTCGGACTGCCCCGCCCTCAATTTGGAGGAGTCTCCTTCTTGATGGCCAGGTAGCGGCGAGTGTATTGAATGACTTGAAGACAGTTTGGGAGGAGCCTGTGGGTGAGGAGAGGAGTTGGATAGTGACCTCGAGGTTATCAAGGCATATCCAAAGATTTGGTGCATGTTGGGCTGTTGAGTGCATTGTAGCTTTCAATCTGGTAAGAGCTGCTTCTGCTTCTGCGTCGAAGACTTCTTTGTTGGGCCTAAGGGGTATTAAGCTATGCAAGAATTAGGAGCTAGCTTGGAAACCGACATAGCTACTACCTGTTTGGCCATTTTCTAATTTGGATCCATCTAAGTAGATTATGATGTCATTATCTAGGATGGATTATAGGAATATTTGGAAGTTGTCCGCTGCTTCTTCTCTTGTGAGGTCTGATAGGGCGCCGACCTATATTAAGGCTGCTTCTCTGGGTTCTTTTGTACTCTAGGGTAGATGTAGCAGTGGGTTGATCTTTTCCATGTTAGGGAGTGCGAGCACTCAGCGTGCAAAGCGACTGGTTGGGTAGCCTATTCGGGCTATGGCTCTGGCTCGTCTTCGAAGAGTGTGATATGGGTCTAGGCGGTTTAGGCGTGTGGATGCAGTGAGGGCGATTTAATTTAGCTCAATCTCAGGAGGGTAAAACCTTGACTCTCGGTGTAGGACAGGTACCTGGGTAGTATGGAAAACAGGCAGAACCGCCCTTGCCCCCGTTAGAATAACAGTAGATAGGTCTGTTAGATGTTTGTTTACTAGGTTTGAGATTGGGGGAGTATCTGCCTGAGGGCGGGAACGAGGACAGGTGCGGCCTGGCCACCACGTCTCTGCGCCGAAGTAGACTTTATGGAGGACATAGGCCAATATGGCCTGTTAGAGAAGGTGTGGCCTCATTCCATGGACTGTATTTCCTAACGAGCGGAGGGCACTGGCGATAGTGAGCGCTTTGGATATCATTTCTTAAACATGCCAGTGGAAGAAGAGCTTTTTGTCAAAGAGGATCCCTAGCTAGCGTAGGTATAGGCGGTCGGTTACTTTAGTGACTATGACTGATCCCATTGAGACTGGGGGGGTTGTTACAGGGTCTTGGTCTACTCAATGTTAGAAGAAATACATGAGTTCGTATTTATTTAGTGCAAAAGTGATTCCTTCAGCAGTGCCCTATTCAATTGCCTCCTGTAGAGATTCGCTTAGCATCTAGTAGTTAGTTATAAGGGATGGGGAGATTACTAGGGTCGCTCCATTATCTACGTATCCAAATCTAGTTCTGGGGTTGCCCATGTGAAAGAGTGGTGCAATATAGAGCATAAAGAGAATAGAGAAGATAGAGAAGCCTTGGAGAAGGCCACATAATATATCTGTATAGGGGCCAAGTTCATTATCAAATTGGATCTATATAGTTCTTTCCATGATGAAAGAGACAATCCAGAGTATCAGATTGTTTGGCTATCCTTATATCCGAAGCCAGTAGGTGAGTCTTCCTGAAAGAACATTATCGAATGCACCTTCCACATTAAAGGTTAGTAGAGAAGCTATTTTCCCTTGGTTCAGGGCTTATTATATGTCGTGTGTTAGACATATGGTTAGATCGATTGCTAATCTTAGAGAGAGGGCTCTGAATTGTTGGCTTGCTAGGACCTTATAGTGGATTGCTATCTAGGCCATGTTCCGTACCACTAGACGTTCAAGGTCCTTTCCTAGGACTGAGAGGACAGCTATGGGCCTATAGGGGTTGGTCCAGTCTTTCTTGCTAAGCTTTTGTAGAATAGTGAGAATCGTGTGTCTAAAGCACTTTGGGTGATATCCTAATCGCAGACAGCCTTAGAATAGGGCTAAGATCTTGTCCTTGATTAGTGGCCAGGCTGTCTTTAGGATGTTAGTTTGGAGTTCGTCTTCGCCTGGAGCAGTGTTTCTAGCCTTTAAGATAGACTTTTCCACTTGTGCCATGGTGATCTCAGGGAACGAAAGGGTAGCGGTAGGGACAGCTGGGCATTCTAGCGAAATATCCCCTGCCTCTGTTGTATTTTGAAGAAGGTTGCGAACTAGTAGATCTCGCTTCTCCTGAACAAAGACTGCGGGCAGATCATTCGGCCTTAAAGGGTCCTTAAGAGGAGGGCTGCGGTATGAACCCCTCGATTTATGCCATTTGCTGATATCGAAGACCTCTTTCGTTTGTGCTGCAATTACTAGCTTATTGCGCCAGAACTGTCTTTGTGCTTTTCTGATTGTTCTGCGAAACTTATCTTTAGGTAACAGTCCTAATCAGTATGCCTGTAGTGCTTCTTTGCATTCTAGGTTCTACCATGGTTATCCATTTCTATGGGGGAGGGACCTCTTGGCAGAGCCTTCGTACGCACTGTGTATTGCTGAGGTCAGGCCTTGAGCTAGTGACTCTAGATCGTCCTTCGAGGAGTCCAGCGGTTGGATCTGTGAGAGATTGGTGGAGAGGAGAGATAGAAAGAGGGGTTAATCGAGTGTATTGAATCGTATTTTTTGGGTAGGTAGTGTGTGTCTTTGGTCCCATGGGATAGTGGTTAGCAGTGGTGTATGATCAGAGGTTAAGTCTAGATGGGAGGCGGTGCTAGTATATAGTCTGCTCAGCGCTAAAGAACTAGTAGCAAAGGCGAGGTCTAGAACGTTGCCTCTTGCGTGGGTTGGGCAGTCTATTTCTAATATAAGGATAAGTCCTAGGTGGTCTAACCATTCAATAAAGGGGTCCACTGATACGGCGGGCCAGTAGGTTAGTGAGGGTTGCCATCTAATATGTAGAAGGTTGAAGTCTCCAGCGAGGAGGGTAGGTTGTAAGAATAATGCCTCTGGCAGGGATATAAGGGTCTCCATGGCTTTTCCAGCTCTAGTGGAGCCAGCTGGGGCATTGTAGGTATTGATGGTGAGGATTGATTGTCCAGTTGAGGAGGGAATTTGCAGAAAAAGTAGGTCAGATAGGATTATTAGATCCTCAACGATAGGGCGTAGCTGGGATGCTTGTAGGCCGGCATTTTTCCAGACATAAGTAAGGACACAAGGCCGTCCAGTTACTATCCAGCTGTCTGTCGGAGAGAAACATTCATATGAAGGGTGTCTCTTGGTGATTTTCTGGCTTAGATTAGTAAATATATATGGTTTAGAGATTGCAAAGCATATAGCGCTAGCTATAACTGGAGGTTCCTGAGAGGGCGCCGGAGGTGGGGGAGTGGTTAGCAGAAAGGTAAGATGACCTGGTTTTGTGTGGATAGCATATCTATAACCATGGACTGTTCTTGTGTAGTTGTAGATGGCTCCGAGGAGCAGCCTTGTTCCATACAAGCCTTTGCTAGATTGATAGCGCATGATTTGCGGATTTCTGCTCGTTGGGTTTTAGTGCGAGAGATGCCTGCTTTAGGGCGGAGTGGGCAGTCAGAGAAGTCTGCTAGATGGGGACTATAGCAGTAGAAGCATCTTGGAGGGCAGCAGTGAGGGTTTAGAGTAGAACAGCTGTTATTATGTCCTTCTTCAGTATGTTCTGATAAGCCACAAAGTTGACATCTTAGGAGTCATGCACAGGACCGCGCATTATGCCATTTCTAGCAGCGGTTACTGAATGATTGTTATCTTCCTAGTAAGGAAGTAAGCATTGGTAATAGTGCCAAAGATGCAGAGCCAAGTTGGGAGAGAGGCCTTAGTGTCTTTAGAGAAGTTAACAAACTAGCTTGAAGACAGTGAGTTGGCATTAGTAGCACTAGCGGTGGTCTCGCTAACAGATATAGGTCTATATCCTGTTTGCTCGGTGATTTCAGCAGATAGTATTGTTAGGTCGACTAGGATCATAGAGTACTAGCCGTTGATAATTTGGTCAATCTTTCTTGGCAGGTTTGTGACTCTGTATGAGATCCAGTGAGAGCTCTGTTCGATTTGGCAGTCGCCAAAGTAGGTGGATATGACTTCTTTCTGGGCCTCGAGGGTTAAAAGGGCCTCCTTGGATGTAGGACAGAGGGCGAAGCCAGTCTTTATCATTTGTACTTCTTTTAGAGCATTGCTGTTTGTGCCTAGTTGGGACCAGAGGCTAGAGAAGATGGCGTAAGTGTCCATCTTTCTAGCCACATGGTTAGGTGGGAGACGCACGAAGAGACGGTGGTCAGGGAGGGATTGTTTCGCATCAGATATAGGCTTTTTTATAGGTGGCTTTGTTTGTTGTGCAGCAGTAGCTGGCTTAGCTAGGGTGGGTTTAGTGATTGTTGCGTAGGAGGACTGTGCAAGGCCGGAGGGGGGATGAGAGGGGGGGGGAGTAGGGGGAACGGGACTGGGGGTAGGGGAGGGGGCTGGGGCAGGGGAAGGGGTAGAGGGAGTAGGAATAATGCCACTTATATAGGCATTAAAATGGTGTTGAGCCATAGTAGCTAGATTATCGCTTAGAGTAGCGAGAGCTCTTTGTAGATGAGGGCTGAGGCTAGCCGACTGGTTGCGGTGTTTGTCGAGAAAAGCAGCTATTGGGCTGAAGATTTTCTGACCCTCAGCTGCTCTGGTGGTAGCAGCAGTGGTTGTCTCTTGCAGAGCGGTTTGTAGAGATCTCTTGTCAGGTTCAGAGCGACTCTGTGCCATGGCGTTGCGGAACGCGTTTTAGCGCGTCTGGGCCGCGTAGCCTGGGGCTGGGAGCGGAAGAAAGAGAGAAAATATAGGCAGGAATAGAGCGTCTGACAGCGCAATTCTACTCAAACAATTAAATGTGTGTCAGCACTCGTGTTGCTAGTATCTGCTGTTTATCGAGTGTGTTGTGTGGTGCCAAAATGTGTACGGTTTGATATTCACGTTCCGACACTAAGGGAGCCAAGGAGAGCCTGAATCATACGTTTTGGGAGCAATTGAACTATTCAATTGCGACTGCATTTTGTAGATTATGTTTGTTCTGCGTCTGCTTTCTAGAATGTTTCGTACTATATATGTTTGAAAATAGTGTTGTTACATTTCCATTATCAATCATTATGAATGAATTCATTGACTATGATCAGGCTCTAAAGGAAGTAGACAGACATGGTCGAGATTCGTTGCTAATATCCTAGCTGCTGTTAAGTTGTACACTTAATTTGGATTCTAGGTAGTGGGAAAGGTTCATACACCTGAAGGCACATTCACAAGTATGTTCAGAGACTTCCTGATGCCATCTTTCTACTATGAAGAATTGGAGTTGGCAACTATCAACTATTCCATATTAAGTAAACTGTTGTTCACGAGCCGTTGACACTCCGCCTTGATAATTGAGCGGTTGTCTAAGGTCAATTCATGCATCTGCATTCCCTCATCTGACAGCATCAATAGTGAAACCTCGCTGAGAAGATCTTTGATATAGAAGTATTGGTCATTCCAACATTTAATAACGAGATCAAAGTGATTGTTACTCAGGTGGGGAAATTCCATGTGTTGCATCCGATCATGGACGTCCGCATCGTCATCGAACCTGTCTATTTTAAAAGGTTCATAGCCCAGTGTTAGACAGTAAAGGATTGATCCTATAGCAAACTGCTCTGTCCTTGCGCCATATTTTCCAAAGGTTCCTTCTTCGCTTCCAGCTTCGGGGCCCAGTATACGTGCCCATTGAGGTCTGGAAGCGTTCTTTCGCCTCTACTCGTCTCTGTAGTCGAGGACCTCCAATTCGTTTCTAAGCCACATCCACAGATTCACACGCCTTCGCGAAGGGTTCCGTCTTGATAGTTTGAACCGAGTGGCATGACGTTATGTATCAAAAAATATAGAACTGGCTCTAATGAAAGTAATAGATACTGAAATCCTTCTTATTGTCTTTGCTGTAAGGTATTTTTTGAAATATTGTATGTGCAGTGTATGGCACCGCAAAGAATAGTGAGGCAGACAGCCAGTAATGCTTATTGGTCCACACCAGATGATACCCTTCACCCCGTTCCGGAGCGAGTCTGCTGTGGTAGATAACTAACTATGGCTGGCACTGATTTTCGTGATCCAGTCGAATTTGCATCGTGATGTAGAAAAATTGCGGCACCAAGTTGATTAGTAAATCATCCTACATTTTGCACCAGCAGCAAGTCTAGAGCCAACAACTTCATGTATTCCGACCGAATGTGACGTACATGTAAACGATGAGAAAGATTGTCAACATGATTGTTATTGTAGACGTGTCCTTTCAAAGCTCTCCTGGCCGTCGCTTTAACGATGAGAGTTTCCACTACTCCATAGTAAAAGGGAGGTTGTGGGTGCACTAAGGTGCATATACGTACGTACAAAGCACTTGAGTCAATCTCAATAGGTGATTCTTGGGTTCTGTGTTCTGTTGTGTCTATCTGTCTTAATGAGGCCCCGACGCGGTCTATATAGTCCTTGCTTGACGAGGTCACGTGTAACCCATACGTGACCTCTCCTTGCTGCATACCAGTGCCAGGCATCTCGATTGCACGAAGCAACCAACAGAGGTCCCTCGTGGGAAGTCACCTTCTCGTGGTGAGCGACGTCAGTAAGCTGGATTGCATGATCTAGCTGGAGCTGAGAACTTTCCAAGTCGAAATGTCGGTATATCGAATGTTCCAGACACAAGTATTATACAGGGGTTATCATCACATTACTGTTTCGTCCCAAAACATATAACTTTGTAGATTGAGGACAATCTTAAGCTTGACCAAATATATACTAGCTTTTCCATTGCTGTCTCAAATAGACCTTGGGAATTGTCAGATTTACCGGGGTTTATTTTACCCTTAATCCCGTGAAATTGATAAACAAGATGATCCTGGGATTTCTCAACTGAAGGCTTGAATTTCCTCTCTTCTTCCTTGACCAGATTGTGATGTTTCTAACAGGGAATTATCCTGTATAAGGAAAAATCAAAACCCCTCGCTTTAATACGTGTTTCTTCCTGATTGGTACGCCAGTTGGGCCTCGCTGCGCTGTGCACTTACTTCACCGATAATATCCTAAAAAATTCAATTCGAAAGTATACAAGAGGGGAATATATTTTGCAAGAGACCGTATATTAAGCTAATTGTGCAATCTGCATATCATTTTAAATCTTCAACTAAGCTGCTAACAGACCCCTCTGACGAGGCTTCAACCGACGCTGACTCAATCAATCAAAGAGGGGATCAAAAGGGGGCGGTCTCAAAACTCTCTGTACTGCGAAAATAATAGTAAAAAGCATTATAACATATGATAGGTCGTAGTAGTTCCAAAGACTCTTCTTTTTAAGTGTCATACCAAGATTTTGAGCTAAATCCCTATTACTCAAAACTGGAGGAGGATTCTTCCTACGTGTATTAGGTTCAATTTCTTGTACATGTAACATTTCTGCAATTTCTTTTAACTTTTTTGCCTGCGCGTCGGACCTTGTTCTCATTTCTGTCCGTAATTCACTCATTTCTCCGTGTAAGGCACCTATTTCTCTCCATAAGTAACCGTAGGTAGTGGCTTCCTCTATCTTTCCAGAAAGAGTCGACCCTTTTCTTGTTGCCATAGGAAATCGGTGTTCGAAGATAATTTACCTATAATTTTGCTCTACTGGAATCTATTTGTACCCCGTAGTGTGCACTAAGGGCCAAGCGAAATCTAAGAATACATCTATTACTATTACTACAGTACTCTGGTTTTTTCTAATTCAGGAAACGTTATTTCTCGTGACTATTCAAAGTAAATGAGGTAGTATATTACTGAAAAAAGTCCTATATATACCTTTAACATGCTATGTACTGTAAAAACGAAAGAAGGTGCTGATAATAAGGTAATTTTTTCACGGCTAGCCATCACACAAAGAGAGCACAGAGGGTGATGATTGATTCATGCTGGTCTCTAGAATTTTCCTCGAATCTGCCTGTATCATATACAGTTGGGCTAGAAATCTCCATCCCAGTTGCATACATAGATATTCGTTTTCAAACCCTAATGCCAAGAGTACTAATCCATAAATAGACTGATTATGGGTCATCTTGACAAATGTACAGTTAGTAATTGGTTCCTTTTAAAACAGGCTAGCTATATACAAGTAGACAACACTTGGCGTTAGGGTTTGAAAATGAATGTGTATGTATGCAATTGGGAAGGAGATTTCTGGTGCGACTGTAGAAATGAGCAATTAAGATGAATATCGAATCAGATAAGCGGCCAGCTAGAACTATATTATGTTTCGAATTTCCTAATTTCTACTTTTGTACCAGCGTACCTGAAATTCCCCTTTGATTTAGTCTTGTCATAGATGAAAGGTAGTTAGACTGACAGTTGGAAATGTGTAAGTGCCCCATTACGTTAGAACAGCCGTCGGTTCCATCATGGAGCATATAATAGACTTCAGATGTTTTTGTTGGTGACATTTGCCCCAAGGATCACTTTACAATCAACAAGTTAAGAACAGCTCTGACTTTGATCCCTCTCTAGGTGTAGAAACTAATGAAAAACTGACGGTCAGAACTCTTGACGATTACATCAAACAAGGTCTAGGAGATTTTCGGGGGCGACTTGGCAGACTCTTCGGATGAGTGAAGGAGTGAACGAATGATTTATTACGCACGCAGGGACCAAACCTATAGGTCACCAGCATGCTAATGTTAACATGATCTTTTCTCACAGTGTGTGACATGAACCTGCAGTAGCCGATGGATATGCACATGGTAGTCACCTTCGTAGTCATCGACTAACCACTTGTATTAGCTTCTCACAGCTAGTTCCCGCGGCCCGGGGCCTGGAATCTTAGGATACTCAATGGCAGAAGCAGGAGGTCTCGCGAGTGACCGTGATGCCGTAATGGCCTGCCGCGTCTAGGCAGGTAGGACATGAATGCTCATGGATGATACGGCAATCCATTTGCTGGTGAAATAGAATCGATTGTTTTCCAGCCTGACTTTCTAGGATCAGGTCCCGGCGTGTATCCCGTGGGACATCACCATACCCTCTAACTTGCTACCGTTATCCACGTACTACATATAGTAGAGAGATTTTACGCCTTATAGTAGATAGTCTTTTATTAAGATACCGTACTGAGTATTACATGATCTTGTTCAAATCACTAGGGTTAGCCGTAGTGGTGGAGAAGATTTTGAGTTCCGTATTCCGCCCATAACTGACCGATGATGATATTGTACATGTATTATATTCTCAAAGATATGACTAAACCTACTAAAGGACGCAACTCCTCGATAAAAATCGATTTATAGTTTTGGAGATGAGGATAATCGGTTTCAAAATTTCTCCGATTGTTACAGTAGTAAACGATCTGATGCTACTTTTCCCACCAACCGAAAAATAGATTCGACTAAGCATCTGAGCTGGCTGGACAAGGTCTATTATTTTCGGAGCGCCAGGCAAATGGTCCTGAATGTAGTAAATCTGACTGGTTGGCCAACGAGGATAATATCGATACAAGCACAATACTCAAAAGATTAACAATGAAAAACGATAGTAAAATTTTCCCATTCGGGTCACTTTTCTCACTTTTCCTCCTAGCTTTCGGTCTCTTGATAACATCCGTTGAAGGCTCTGAAATTTTTGTAATCTCTGGAACCTGTGGACTCCCTGGAACCTTTGATTGTTTCTTTCTCCCTGGCGTACTAGATTTGGGCATATTAGTGTTGGAAGAAATTGAATAAACGGGCGGATCTGCAGGCTATAACTATTTTTCAAATCTATATTAAAAACTCAAGCAGGAGCGAAAAGTCATACCACATACGTCACCAATATTATCCTACCTGTGAAGTGATTATCTGTTTATTACCTCAACAGGTCCAATACAGGTACGTATCACTCCATGATTAATCTGACGCCGCGTACAGTAATTTAGGCCTCTTGTTCTCGCGAATAGCCGCTGGAAGTCACTCCACACATTAGGTGTTGTTTCTCTAATAATTGAGCGGTCAATCTCTATTTGTAATGTAGTATACTCTATGCGAGAGGGATAGATCAATACTAAGGAAACTAAATATCCGAATCTTACGGACAAGGAAGGATCCTACAGAAGACGGGGGAAGACGTAATCACTACATAGTAGAATCGCCTCGGTAGCGCGTGTTTGTTGTTTTGATAAAGTGATTCGGATCCCGTGTTACCTCCTTAGCTGTAAAAACTAGCAGTGGCTAATGCATGTCGTAATTTGATATGATCAATTTGATTGGCTATCAAGTCTAACATCATAACGTGGTCAACTTGGAGTTGGGATTACGACAGGCATAATGGAGTTATTCTCATCATATTATGTGCTGTTCCGATATGACGAGTCTGTTTATTAACAAATTTGAAAAGATCTGGTTGAGAAATCGATGCCCAAAACTGCATTCAACATTGTAATAGAAGATCAGCAACCCTGTCTAAGGTGTTCCTCGACGCTAATTTCCAATGCGGCACCGACGGTCGTCAACAACAAAGGATAATGCCGACAGATACCAAGCTTCTTTGACGGATACAGACAGATGCGAAACCTCCTTCACATCTTCTACATACTCTCTCTTCTTTTTGCCCCACAACGAAGGGCTAGTCCCTGAGACTAGTTCAATCTCGTATTTTATATGTAAATGTAATACTCATTATTTAAATATCTCTGATCTAAAATATATATAATATTAACGTAAATAATGTACGAAAGTGGTATTAAAAAGTACTAGTCTGAGTAAATTGTGGACTACTTCTAGGCAACAGCCCTGGCTGTGGGGCAAAAAGAAGAGAGTGTGTGTAAAAGATGTGAAGGAGGTTTCGCATCTGTCTGTATCACTATACAACAAAGGATGTCCTAATCGGGAAAATGAAATCAAGCGGCGCGCGCCAAGCCCGCGGAAGCTGTCTAGGGCGGTGTTTCGGAAATGTCCCTCTGCTCGTCGCCCCTACAAGTTCGGAATCAAAGCCAAGGCTTGGGCTCTTTTCCTGAGCTTGCCTTGCCGATGCTATTTAATAAAGGCTTTTGACTCAGTAAAGAGTTTTTACTCAGATTCAAATCAGGCGAGTACAGAGGCAAATTGACCCTGCTTTCATGCACATTCGCTCGGTTCTCTCGGTGTGGCGAAATGAGACGTTATCCATGACAAGAACGGATTTTGGCTTTGTCCATTTTCCATATTGATGGAGTAGCCCTGCTATAAAATCATTAAAGACAGAAGTATCAGTGGAGCCTTCAAAAACCCAGGGTAATAGCTTGAGAGCTGGAACAAGCAATGCTGTGCATATTGCTCCCTAACGCTTGCCCCTCTTCGGAGAAAGGAGCCGTCGCTAGGAAGTGTTGGTATGCCCTTCTCCCAGAGGTGCCAAACTACATGCAGCAGGCAGCGCTGGAAGTAAGGTGCTTTAAACTCCCTGTCAATATAATATAACTGCATCTTGAGTAAAGGCTGGTAGAATCTGATACCACTAACCACGATATAATTTGGCCACCTGGGAGGGTGCTAGCAGATATGCGGAGAGGAGACAAGCAAGTCCTTATAAAACTTACTCTCTTATCACATCCAGATCCATCTCCGTAGGCAAGATGGTAAAAGCAAAGATCTGAAATTAAATGATTGTACGTATCAATCCCGCAAAGCTGCGTTTTTGTTCAATTGCTTTAAGCGTTTAAGTTTTCAGTAAAAGATTAACAAAGAATTTGTGTCATTACAGCGCCTTGCATGAGCGGCTTTACATGATTTGCAACTCTTTGATTCTTTCTCGGCGCCACTCCCGTTGCCTAATCCATAATAGGTTTAGATTAGTATTTCAGTATTTTACGGCCCGTATGGGACGTAAAAGAAGCATTGTTTTGGTAAGCTTGGCATGGTTTTGTACATACGGAATTTTAGCTACTTAGTTGTCATATAATATATAACCGAAGAAGCTTGTATTAACTACTATGTATGCAATATGGGCTGAAACAGCTACCTTTGATTAGACAAATATGAAAATGGCGTGAACAGAGGGAGGCTGTATTACATCCTTTTTCTTGCGCCTAGAAGGCTACACGACTTTACATTCCCTGTCTATGCTAAGAGCATGAGAGGATAACCTGAAATCCAGGTGACTAGGCCCTAATACTTCACTGCTCAGATGAGAGCATTTCTTCAAACTCCGAGGCAACTCTGTTCACGGTATAATTAATATACAGTATTTATACTGTACTGGACAGATGTGCAGAAGAAAATATTCACATTACTTGTTTCTCTTCTACAAGTGCTAGTTATAATCAACAGAATAGGTTTCCGCAGACTAGAAAACTATAGAAACTCCTTGGCAAAACGACTTCTGGGGTTCATCAGTCGAAGAGCACTACATTTGCACACTTATTATCGACATTGATATTCGCCTTCTTAGTCAGCCAACCAATCAATGTCGTAGGATGACAAAGTATCGGGATAATCGACTCCTTTGTCCGTAGATGACGCCAGATTGGTCATGTTTATTGGCGTGTTAGGATGCTCCGCATCAGGTACCCTCTCACATCACTTGCACGTAGGTCATCCAACATTGTTGAACTTGAGGATAATTAGTCAATATATTGACGTCACCAAAATCTGGCCAAAACCATTAGAATAAATTTAGATGTTATCCCAGGCCCTTCTTTTGAAAATAAGTAAAAGCCTTGCTGACTAGCTTTCCAAGGAAGCAAATGGGAATCTAACTCTATAAACCAAACGTAAGATTGGGCTGTTAACAGTTTCAGCCCATAATATACGCTTAAGCAACTTTATTTTTCCCTCAGACAAAGGTATTGACCTTCGCCCATCCGATGTCTCAAAACATGCATTTCCATCACGAACATAGCAGGCAAAGATTTCATGGATACTTCTTTGAGCCCAAATTTTGCACAACGCTGAGGTAGCATTAGCATTCAAGTCGAAGAAAGGGAAAAGGAACTCATCATGTTTCCATAATAGAGCTTCTATTTTGGACGCCACATACGAGTCTCCATCGTTCTCTAGCCGGCGCATCACAGTCTCGAGGATGTCAGGTGACCAGGGAGATTGTGTGCCTAAGGCTTGAATAGCTGCACGCCTCACATCTGAGTCTTCATCCTTCTCTAGTCGGCGTATCACAACCTCAAGGATGTCAGGTGACCAGGGAGATTGTGTGTCTAGGGCATTAATAGCTGCACGCCTTATATCCGAGTCTCCATCGTTCTCTAGCCGGCGCATCACAGTCTCGAGGATGTCAGGTGACCAAGGAGATTGTGTGCCTAAGGCCTCAATAGCTGCGTGCCTCACATGCGAGTCTCTATCGTTCTCTAGCCGGCGTATCACAGCCTCGAGGATGTCAGGTGACCAGGGAGATTGTGTGCCTAAGGCCTCAATAGCTGCGTGCCTCACATGCGAGTCTCTATCGTTCTCTAGCCGGCGTATCACAGTCTCGAGGATGTCAGGTGACCAAGGAGATTGTGTGCTTAAGGCCTGAATAGCTGCGCGCCTTATATGCCTGTCTCCATCATTCTCTAGCCGGCGTATCACAGCCTCGAGGATGTCAGGTGACCAGGGAGATTGTGTGCCTAAGGCCTCAATAGCTGCGTGCCTCACATGCGAGTCTCTATCGTTCTCTAGCCGGCGTATCACAGCCTCGAGGATGTCAGGTGACCAGGGAGATTGTGTGCCTAAGGCCTCAATAGCTGTGCGCCTCACATACCAGTCTTTATCGTTCTCTAGCCGGCGTATCACAGCCTGAAGGATGTCAGGTGACCAGGGAGATTGTGTGCCTAAGGCATCAATAGCCTCAATAGCTGCGTGCCTCTCACCCCAGTCTCTATCGTTCTCTAGCCGGCGTATCACAGCCTCGAGGATGTCAGGTGACCAGGGAGATTGTGTGCCTAAGGCCTGAATAGATATGTGCCTCACATACAAGACTCCATCGTTCTCTAGCCGGCGCATCACAGCCTCGAGGATGTTAGGTGACCAGGGAGATTGTCTGCCTAAGGCCTCAATAGCTGCGTGCCTCACATGCGAGTCTCTATCGTTCTCTAGCCGGCGTATCACAGCCTCGAGGATGTCAGGTGACCAGGGAGATTGTGTGCCTAAGGCCTCAATAGCTGTGCGCCTCACATACCAGTCTTTATCGTTCTCTAGCCGGCGTATCACAGCCTGAAGGATGTCAGGTGACCAAGGAGATTGTGTGTCTAGGGCATTAATAGCTGCGCACCTTATACGCCTGTCTCCATCGTTCTCTAGTCGGCGTATCACAGCCTCGAGGATGTCAGGTGACCAAGGAGATTGTGTGCCTAAGGCCTTAATAGCTGTGTGCCTCACACGCCAGTCTCCATTGTTCTCTAGCCGGCGCATCACAGCCTTAAGGATGTCAGGTGACCAAGGAGATTGTGTCCCTAAGGCGTCAATAGCTGCGTGCCTCACATGCGAGTCTCTATCGTTCTCTAGTCGGCGTATCACAGCCTCGAGGATGTCAGGTGACCAAGGAGATTGTGTGCCTAAGGCCTTAATAGCTGCGTGCCTCACATGCGAGTCTCCGTCGTTCTCTAGCCGGCGTATCATAGCCTCGAGGATGTCAGGTGACCAGGGAGATTGTGTGCTTAAGGCTTCAATAGCTGCGCGCCTCACATCCGAGTCACTGTCACCAATAAAATTTGCGACTATACCCATGAGATTGAACGACATATGCCACCGATGGGCCAATGCTCTGAGAATCTTTTTTGTGCAGGACCTCTCTCTTTGCAAGGAATTTTCTTGAAGTAATTTGCATAGAATATGCTCTGGAAACTCAGTTTCACTGCAGAGACGCATTTCCTCAAGTGAAAAGTCCTCATAGTGAGACCATTGTATACATCCAAGTTCCATTTTTTCTCGAAGATCCAACAAGGAATCATTGCTGCTTTTCGCTAGTCCCGAGTCTTCTAATAGAGGTACCTCGCTGAAGCAGTGCATAAGTAGCCGCTGATGTGCGGAGCCGAGTAAATCTCGTGGCTCCTCCTCCATTTTTTCAAAGAATGAGCATACTTGTTGTTTGTCAATACTATATAGCAGCCCCGTAACAAACCTCCAGAACACATCATAGCGGCCACTATACTTTTCTTCTCGAAGGAACCTCTCAAGTGGTATTTCCGCTTTACAGTTTTCCCTTGCATGGCCTGGTTTGAGATAGACAAGTAGTTCTCTGGATTCCGATCTCCAACACCGGACGAAATATTGGGCAGCAAAAAACTCCTGGAAAGTAAGATGTAAGAAATGATAACTCTTATCCTGGTCTGATGCATCTGATGTGCGCAGAAAAGAGAGTCGGTCAAGGACATCATCAGACATCTTGCAAAATTCCGGTTGTTCATATAGCCAATCACGATGACCTGAATGGAATTCAATGATGTCGCCGTACAATCCTGTAAAGGCAAGACATTCTAGAAATTTCATCTCTGGTGTCATGTGTTGTGACTCAATCTGCAAGCGCGTCCGCAGTTTTCGGACTGCCGTTCCACCATTGTGCCCAGTATTGTTTCTCTTCTCAAGGTTTAAGATGTCCTTTTTCCATAGCTTTAGTTCAATAGCCTGGTATACTGCTGTCATGGTTTGTAGCACAGCACCAGAACGGAAGTCGTTATCCCAACTATAGCATAATGCATCGAGCTGGATGGGTATTCGAACCAGGCCCTGAATCAGCCAATGGCTCTGAATAAACGAAGAGATCTGGTTAAAAGTATCTAGATCCGTCATGGCTTTCGCTAAGTAAGCTTGCACTTGTCTAGGGTGAAACCCAACTGTCTCTAACTCCAGGTCAAAAGGAGTCAGGCCGGAAAGCTTCACGGCATGTGGACGGGATGTGATGATCACATTGTCTTCATTTAATAAGCTATTAAATATTTCAGTCAGGTCGGCTCCGGAAGGATTGCGATATCCTGAAACTTCGTCAAGGCCATCCAATAGCCAGAGAGTTTTCTTCTTATGGGTTTGATCCAAAGCTGTTTTCCGGAGTTTTGTAACTAAACCCTTGCGCTCTGCTTTATCTTTAAAGAATTCCTGATGGAAAAATTCATCCAAGTCTGACATCCCCTTAAGTCTTCGCAAAGGTATCCATATGATGCGATCAAAAAGGTCTGCCCACATCTGTTCGTGTAGAAAGTCGTGGACAATCTTCTTGCAAAGTGTCGTCTTTCCAACACCTGCCCGCCCTCGGATTAGGATCCGTCGGGGTTGCGCGTTTCGGTTATCTAACAGTTTCCGCTCGTGGAAGAGTTGTGGAAGTGTGACCTCCTTTTCGGGATCACCTGCTCTTAACTTTAGGCGATTAGGCAGTGAGAATGTCGAGGATAGCGATTTTTCTTGTGGCAGCATATTCTGATCATTTTGCTTGTACTCTATTATTGAAAGATTGATATAGCATTGCTGCATATCCAGCGGAACTCCAGAGAGGCGTTCGATCCGGAGACGATTAATCTTATTGTTGGTATAATATTCACGTAATTTTACATCAACTATATCACTGATGAGCTATGTTTTGCACGCCCCTTGTCAAAAAATCGAGATATCCTACCGTTAACGATGGGGAGTGCCGGAATTGTTGATAGAAGCAATTTCGCGTAAGCAGCTGCCGTTAAGGCTGCATATCCTTGCCATTGTTTCTGTTTATGAGAGTCACAATAGTCGCATATTCCTCGAATCACCAGTGTCGGAAGCTCATCCATGAGGCCTGCGGCTTCCATCTCAAAGCAGAGTATCCCATGCTGCAGTGCTAGGCGGTCTCGTGTCTCTGAGTCCTTTATCACCTGATTTCCCGATGCAATCAACCCGTAGTGGATATAAGGTGTCCTGGTTTCCCGTGGTTTTCGTTTGACTAATTGTTCTTTATCACACTTTTCACAGGTGCCTTCTCCGGCGACATGATGATAAGAGGATTCAAAAAGGAAGTCTGTAAGCTGCTCTGGGGGGGAAAACCTTCCTTCTATGTCAGGGTTTCGTTTCAGTGCTTCCTCGGTTATTTTCTTCAGATCCTCGCTTCTAGTAATTCTTTTCGCCTCTAGTTGACTCATATGGGTCAAAAGAGTCTGTGGTGGTTTATTTAAGGCGCCAGTTGGCTCAAGTTTCCCTCCTTCCACGGTCTTACCATAATCATACTGTATCACCCCACCGTGCTGTCCAACTGGTTTACTGACCACAACATCGCCTAGTCGAATGTTATTGTTTTTACCCGGGACACCGCCTCCAATGCCCACCATCAATCCATACTGGAGCCGAGGAAAGGTAGAACGCATGCGAGACACAACATTCGCGGCGGCCACTGTTCCGTATACGCCAGCTGGAAGGCAGGTAATGACAATGTAGTGGCCGTCTAATTCGCCGAGTTCGTAGGCATTCGAATCGGTGGACGGATTTGGAAGCGGACTGTGGGTTCTGTTCAGCATGACGCGGGCCGCAGCGACCTCGAGCGGCAATGCGCATATCCACGCGATTGTGTAGTCGTCGTGCGTCGAAGACATCAGGGTGGGTCCAAACGAAGAAACAAGCTAGATCAGTCCAAGTACTGTATCGATATTAAGATAATGACAGGTTGGAATGCGAAGCCCCGTTCATGATGAGTAGGAGAATGTAAGGCACGATGCATCAGGCTGGGAAGGAGGGGTAAGCTACATGCAGCTGCACTCCCGGGCTGCTCAGGTACACAATGAATGTCGCCTATTCAGTCATGGTCATTCGTGACAAACCACGTAACTGGAACCCATACTGGGAGGGCGTCAAGTTAATTTGATTTATACAGTATCCCTGGTTAGAAATTGATATCTTGCTCCCACAAAGCTTTCCGCGTCCTACTCAAATGAAGTTACGTGTCGGATCGGAAATTCCTATTATCCGATGGCTGCCTGTTCCTCCAGCCCTGGTAGTGATTGGATTAGCCATGGTCGCCTGCGCGCCACAGTAAACTATTGCGCCTCGTCGGTCAGCATCTCTTAACTTTTCTTGGGTGGAGTTACATTACGTGGAATGCCAGTTGGGTGCGAATTTTCGTGATTATGCAGCCTGCGCTCCCGACGGAATGCACTACTTCCACGATACTCCGTAGATAGCAGGAAAAATTGGTTGTAGCCTTCAATGTACAAAGGCTTTGGTCACTCATTCCTGCCTCAGAGGTGTTTGGAGAGACAAGAGGATGACACCTGGCCAGTTTGCCGAGACAAACCTGTCTCTTTGTTGTTTGGTTTGCAAGGAACATGCTAGAAGGTTCTACGTATTTACGATACAGAAAGCAATACCAATTTGTGTATAGTTATGTTCGATACTTCGTCTAAATTACTGAAATAACAGGCTAAACCTAGTATGGTTTAAATTGCGGGAGTGGCGCTGAGAAAGAGTCGAAGAGTTGCAAGTGATGTAAAGCCGCACTTGCAAGGCGCTGTACTGTAGCGGCGTGAAAGTTTATGGCCGTCCTCCTCTGTTGGGAGGTGCCTTCATCCCGTCGAATTGGCGCATGTCAGAGCTCAGGTATCTGACCGTACGCTCACTGCAGCCAGCGGCCTTCGCCATTTGGGGTCTGTAGGCTTATTGCTGATCATCATATCATAGATTAATCCTAAAGGGGTGCGGCTGAATATCTGATACAAGGTACTGTAAGTTTATAGATTCCTTCATAAAATATACAATACAAACTTTAAAAAACAACAGTCTTCCGAATAACTACAAAACCGGTTACTCAGTCTTGCCCAGGTGGCATTAGGGTTTGAAAGAAACATCGAAGAGTGCAACCAACTGTATCCTTCGGATACTCGTCCGCTGTTCATTAGTTTGGCATAAATCATCCAGTCCATGAGACTACCTGGGTCCTAGGCATTGTTGGTACGATGATATGATCTAACAGAATGGAGTCTAGCCCATATACTCTTTGGCTTTCTCTTCAATACTGTATTCAAATCGAAATGTTTCAATTGCAGTGGCTGCCTTTTTCCAAAAAATTCATTAAATAGATTTATGGGAATATCAATATCACTTTCTTGTCCCTTTTCCTTTTCGATGCCTCGCAGGTACCTTAAAAAGTTAGATGCGTCCTCTGATCTTTCTGTTCTAAGTCTTTCCAAGAGTTTGATGAAAGTTTCAGTTGGATAGGTCGCCTGTATTACTCGAACTTTGCCGGACGTCTCCAGACTGATGTTCATACGACTGATGGGGATTTTCTGCTCTCTTTGTGTTTGGATGGCCTGTGTACGTGTTAGCACCGTTGCTACAACAGCACTACAACTAGGCAGTCGTGACCATACTTGCGATATAATGTAAGCAACTTCTTCCTCCTTTAGTTTAATATCGGATGCTATCAGCTGGTCAAAGGTGATACATGTAAAGGGTGTAGTGGATTTAGTAGTTGCTTTGAATCTTGGTGGTTTCCGTAACGGCATGTCACCAGGGGCCCAAGCATTAATCGGGAGGCACTTACGGTTGATGATTTCAGATTATAATATATAGCTCCATCGTTATTTTTGTACGTACTGTTGTGTATTCTTATAAAGTCACGGGCGAGGGTGATCAAATAGGGGTCTGATACGTAATTAGGGAAATAATCCCCATTATATTAGTGCTGGCCTACATATTTACTAATAGGACTAAGCTAACACACATCATTTGAATATTTCCTAAACTTTCATTACATAACGAAAAATTAGGGTATATACAACCCGTTGATGGTGCCCATCCCTGTGGTCCCCGTGTAGTCTATTCTCTACAAGTCGTACATACAACCCTGAATCCAAGCTATCCACGGGTATCACAACCCACCATGAGATTTCTCTCAATAATTTCAGCTCTTTTATCAGTGGCCTACTGTATCGAATGGATTGGACAGGTGGGAAACTTAATATGTAACTGGGCTCAGCTTCGTGGTACGATTGCCATTAGTGTCTACGTTCCATCGAGTCTCAGCTTGTTGACTATAATAAGCCAATCTACTTCCAGGTGGGATATACGTAGATGGAGGCGAGTTGTGGTGGATTAGGTGCGCTCCAAAAACAAGTCTAGTATTTTATGTGCTAACGAATGAACACAGCCAATTTTCCAATGGACAGAACGGTACAGTGCAGAATGATGGTATTATCACAAAGTTTCGTCAGGAAATGATAAATTGACTAAGTCTGCTTATAGGCAACTTTGAGGGATCCCTGTTCCGACTTGATCTTTCTCAAACGTTCAACACTATTACGACAAATCTTACATCGCTATTTTCCAGGGTTCCCCAAACCACAGTCTCATCGTCTGATTATACCGACGGTGTAATGTGGGCCGATACTAATGAACTTGTTCTATATGGGTAAAATACCATTCTTGAAGTAATCTTAACATGGCTTGCATTGACTACTGTGTTTCAGGGGTCTTCTCCGTCCGTCGAATAGCACGTCACAACCAGGATCGCGAAGCCTTTACGGCTATAGCATAAATTCAACAAGCAGCCTGCATCAACCTGGATTCTACTATGCAGAGGTTCCAGACAACATGACCAGATATGTTACAAACGGCGCAGGGGTATCTGCCCCAAGTGAACGCTTAGGTTTTTACTTTGGCGGGATGAGAGGTTATGACTGGGGTCCCATCTCAACGATGATGGTTCGGCAGCATACAGTGCAAACACTCTCATCTCTGTGGTCTTAGAAAACACAGATACTCAGCGTTGGACTAATCAAACCCTGCCTGAAAACATACCATCAAGGGCCAATGCAGTTGTGGAATGGCTACCTGTTTCTCATTCCGGCATTCTCGTTGTGATTGGTGGCGTTAGTATACCATCTGTCATCTTCACTAATGGATTAACAGATGCCCAGAAGCTGCAAAATGTAAGGGTATCTTCAAATATATTCTATGAACTTGTCTAACTATGCAGAACAATATGGATTCTCGTTTTATGCAAGAGGTTGCAATCTATGACATTGCGAGCAAGATTTGGTATGTTGTGTTGGAGTTTCGGAGGATGAAAAGGACGCTTACATGTGTGAAGGTACTCACAAAATACGACCGGCGATATACCATCTGCCCGCGCTTTATTCTGCTCCGTGTATGCATCTGCCGCTGATAATAGCTCACATAATATTTATATTTATGGCGGCTATGATGGCAATGATCTGGAACATACCCCATTTAATGATGTTTATATCCTTTCATTGCCCACTTTTACATGGACGCGCGCATATGTTGGAAGTGACAACGATGGCCGCAGTGGCCATCAATGTATCCGTGTGCTTCCTGACCAAATGCTTGTTGTCGGAGGGGAATTCAAGGATCCAACCCACTGCTTACCCGTCTTGAGGAATTTCAATCTGAACACTCTAGATTTCCAAAATGAGTATATTCCAAGCGAGTACGCAAGTTATGAGGTACCATCGCCAGTTATAGAGGTAATCGGCGGGAAGTAAGTATGTCACCTACAGACCAGTATCCCTCTCTACTAACTTGAGTTTAATAAGTGGAAATGGCAGCGCCCTCCATACTTCGCCGGTTGTTTGGTCTAGCGAGAGCCTGCAGAGCGTTTTCAATACTCCGTACACGAAAGCTATTCCGAGCTGCCCGTCTCTGGTACACACTCAAGAACACTTGAGATCGTTTTAGCAACTGTATTTCCAGTCTGTGTGGGAGCAGTTATATTTGGCATATATCGATATTTAAGAACCTCACCTCTTTTGCATCGTACGAAAGCGTCAGTCGAGTTGGACTCGGCACCGTATGACATTCCTCGTTCCGAGCTATCCGCGGTCCCAGAAACCCCTGAAAGCAATCCATCGGCAAAAACTTTGACATCATCGTCAGAGAAAGGAGACGAAAAGAAACGCACAGACTCAATAGCGCAAACACCACTCTCTTGTTACTTCCCAAAAGGCTCTAAGTCACTGGAACTAGAAAAAAAAATGTAGAACGAATTATAGAGTGATCGTGTGGATGTTAATTAATGTTAGGGTCCGTTTGGTTAAGGTCAAATGATGTCCAGGCTATCATAACCACTAAGCCACTGGGAGCTTGGAGGCGTGATAGAATGTTAGAATCTCGGGGTTTTCGCGCTCTGTGTACTTCCTCTTAGTATCGGTCGAAGCAGGTAGTACTAGCCAATTCATTACGCTCGGAGGCACCAAGCCTAAAGGGCTTCAATACGCTATTTGCCCTGCATTGCATACGCACTGTGGTCATGGTCTCATGACAAGAGGTATCAACTGTAAAACCCCTTTAGCCCATACCTTACGTCCTGGGCATTTTCTTCTTGTCGCTGTAATCATATTCCCCAGAAGTAATAACTCATCCCCTGGAACTAGATTCCCCGCGCGTCTATTGTCGGTGTAGTTCCGTGAACCTCTCTCCTTACTAGCGACTTACGAAGGAGTACTTCTCAAAATAGCGCTTGAGTTGTTGACTGTGTCGCTGGCGACAACTTTAGATATCAAAAGACCAGCAATTGAAACGTGATCGAGCCGGTATGGTAGGACCGGCAGGTGAGTTACTGTTAGTCTGTTAGCACAATCCAGCGAGTGTCGATTGGTGGACAGGTTTTTTTTTTCTCAAGCTTCAGTCTCTGTATGCTAGCAACTGTACCCTCGTTAGTGAAGACTCGAAAACACCGAACTTTTCTGCCATACTGATAATTTCTCCTGCCCGCCTCTTGGAGTAACCTCCTATTACGCCTAGTCACCTTTACTTCGGGTTATCCTTGTTCCGCCATGTAACGCCCATAGCCTTACTAATTCATTGGCTGCGACTTCTTAGCCCATGTGACAAAATACTGTACGGAGTTCTCTTAACGAAAATTACAAGTCTACGTCATCGATTTATAATTGTATCGCGTCATCAAAACTACGAAACACTTGTAATGAATATAAAAGTTCCTCACACTCTCATTCATAATAGCATGAAAAAAGACCTCAAAAAGAACCTGATTCCACTATTTGACGTGGTTGTTTGAGCAACTACAATGGCCCCTACAATTTGTTCTCCCTGGCCAGCAGAAGACCCAGAACAATTTCCAGGCTCACTACATGTACCTGGGATCAATGAACCTTATAATAATGACAACTTTGATCGGTACTGGAGTGCGATGGACACAAGTGACCCTGACTTCCCTCTTCAGAGAGCCATTGGACAGGACCTAAGGCCTACATCACCATCATCTGGGTTTTCCGCATCTGTGTCCTTAGCAGGCACAGACGATAAATCACGCATCGAGGAACTGATTAACTGTGTAACAGATATGCGAGAAGAGTAAGTTCTGTTATAGCATCTTCAATCGACGGATGCAGTGTATGTATACTAACTGTTATTGAGACTCCTGAAAATGAAGATGCTCATGGAAATGATCCACAACTCTCTTCTGAATCATATCATGCCAGGAGGGATTAACCCAATAGCCCACTAGTGCGCTAATTAAATAATCAATCAATCAATCAAGCATGAAACAAGTACCAGTGCCAAACATTATCGGGACCTGAAAAAGAGTAAGAGATTTGGAACAGAGATACCCCTTCCGGACCCTTCCCTGATGGGAACCACCAGGGGCACATATAGCTATCGACGCCGAGACAGCAAGGTCCATCCATGACCAAATGATCTAACAAAACCGGGGTCTAGTTATATATACTGATGGTAGTGCTATTAATGGGAAAGTTGGGGCATCAGCCGTCCGATATGGCCTTTCAATTGTAAGACAAGCATCTGTAGGAAGAACATCAGAGGCAAATGTATTCTTGGCGGAACTAGTTGGGATACATATGGCCGTGAATATTGTACAGCAAAGGATAAAAAGAAAGGTCATGATCTTCTGCGACAACCTTGCTGCGGTTCAGGCGATCGATGGTATCCAAAAGACAGATCAGCAGATCTTAGGAAGCATTGCGGAAAAATGTACGACCTCCGGAACAGGATTGTCCAGGTGAATAAATATCCACTCGACCCCAGCCCACTAGAGTATTGAGGGTAATGAATGAGCGGGACAGAGTGTCAGATAATCCGGCTTTCAAACGAGGCAGAAAGATCGACTGTTCAATCTTACAGGTCTAAAAGGCACCTTTAGGCATATATCTGGGCACCTAGATTTCAGCCCAATATTTACCCCTCCTGATAGCTCACAAATCACCCCGCCAAAGGTGTCTATAAAGGACCCGGCTTTAAAAAAACTTGAAAGACAGACACAGAACTCAAGACATACAATCTTGCTAGTCACTTCTTTTCTTTGATCCTAGTAAAACACTCTTCAGGATTGGCCTGGAATAAACCGACCAATCCGACACAGAGCAGCAAAATAGGCGACGGGATAGGGATTAGTGCGGAATAGTAGGAAAAGACATGTTCCAGCGGACATGGAAAGTACTGCCCCGAGACTATCGTACCCCATCACTTGATGCCTGTTTTACCGCGCTCCCACAAGTAACCTTCAAAATTCGATAATATGGTCAATGTTGGTTTATATGTGCAATCGAGATTCCTGGCACCGACGCGAACCAAGGAGAGGTCACGTGAAGGTACACGTGACCTCGTTAAGCAAGGACTATATAGACCGCGTCGGGGCCTCAAATCTTCGAAATCTTGTTATAGAGAGTGCTGAATTCATCGATTCTTTCACCGCTATTATGATCGAATTGATAGAGTTTATCTGAAAGTAGTTACATACTTAATTAATTAATTATCCTCTCAAAGTAACCAATAACTTCGTACATTTCAAGTTATTTTTATACAGTAATACATTATGCGTAGATTGAACTTTTCCTGATTCCCTCTTTTAATCTTTGTTGATATGTTATCTAACCGGCAAATATACTAAAGCTCTCAGAGAAAATTATTGCATCAGACCATCAAATACCTATAATTTTGATGGGAAAGGATTCAATATAGGCCTCTATCACACAGAGAAGCGAATTGTCTCAAAGTCCCAGCTCCATTTAATTACTTGGTGCAATTCACGACGGGAGCACAGAATTTATTACTCCATATCTAACAACCAGCAGGCTTTGGGGTCTTACTATTCTAAGAAATGCGCCCATGACATCCCAAGTTGGGTTTCAGCTCCACATCGACCTGTTGGAGCTATTCGGAGAAGGGAGATCTGGTATAAGTTATATGTCCAAAGATAGCAGGTGCTCCAGGATAGGGAAAGTTAGGCTTCAGTACATTGACATTCCATACCCTACCTTGTGTACTTAGTGTTAGTGATCTCTCTTGAACGTATCTATACACATCCTTCGTAACGTTGTTACAGATATCTATGATAAGCTATACTAAGTTACTAACTAGGGGTATAAGGCGAGGTCTCCTGTTAGCGACTCACGCACGTATAAGGAGGTCTTCTGTAACTAGAATAGTTTTCTTTTCTTAAGCTTCAGTCTTTGCATATTAGTAATAGTACCTTTGTTAATGAATATTGAACACGCAAATGGCCTGCCATATTGATAATTCCCCCCGCCCAACCATCGGATTAACCTCCTATTACATTATATTGATATGTTGTAAATAGTTATTTTATATGCAACTACAAATCGTGTCACTTGGCCGTTTAGCCTGAAAATAGGCAAGTCCCTGACCAGCCCTTACTACGTGTGCTACCTTCTTTTTGCTTCTCGGGGCTTCGATTACTTTTTATTATTAGCTAGCTATACTAGAAAACAATCTATTTTTGACTACCTTCGACTTTTACAGATAAAAGCTCTAATCAATTATCGGCCTCGAGACAACAGTTAACTACTCAAAATGAACTCCCAGGCCGGTAATCCTCCTAGCTCACCGCACGTTACATTTGCCATACCTGAAGAAGAAACTCACCCAAAGCCTCGCTCAGATAATACATGCAACCAACACGCTAGAGGCTCTCCGAAACCACCAGACCGCCCCATTACCGACAAGAGTCGCATCTTTACCAAGTAAACACATCACATCAAAACTATATAGAACCTGCAAAATGATTTTACGTACTAGTTGCATATAGAACTCAATTCTAGAGGTCAAATTTTCTGTCAACAGTCCACCGACTTGACCTTTCTCAAGTCGGCTCTATTTGACCTATCATACCTACCACCATATTTGGGCTCTGATCCTGAAATGTACGCACGCATAAGAATGAGGTTCCGTGTAGTCAGGAATGTTTCGTTTCTCAAACTTCAGTCTCTGTATTTTAATGGATAAAATGTAAATAAATATACAAAGACTTGCTATAGTGGCTCACCTCTATATCGCTTCCGTGAAAGGTTAGCGTACGTATATAGATAGCCGTCACATATAAAAATAGATATAAAATAGTACTGTAAGAGAGATTGTAGAGAACGTGATCATGAGGTATAATTTGTAGCTAGATTGAAATAACGTAGGGTAAGGTCTGTAAGGGAGCTATTCGTGACCTTCAAGGATGTATCCCCCTAGTCTTCCCCTTAAAGCGCTGTAATTGCGTATCCACGCGCTTAAGGATGCACCTTTACTTTGATAGTTTAATACACTCGCTGGGTCCCGAAAATACAGTAATATAAGAAATTATGGAGCTGCTGCGATACTGGCCCTGAAGATATAGCGATTAGCGGCTTAGGGCGAGGAAAGAAGCCTTTCAAGCCTTTGCATCTGCATTACTAGGTAATTGACTAAGTCCGGGCTAGTCAATAGTGTCCATGCCCAGCGCTATAGGCTATGATGGACATCAACGTGTTAGTAGTTCTATGAGTATCGGAAAAGTGCAATCCTTGACAGCGGCGAAACTCCAACCCCGTAGCTAGCATATTTAACCTTCTTATTGAATGTCGGGAACGCCTTGTTATTTTGGGACGGTTTGGCAACTGATAACGGAAATTGTAAGCGATGCCCAACGAGATATTGAGATATTATCTTATTTGCAACATGAGAAAAAGCGGACTGTGCTACTCTTTTAGCTAGGAAAAAGAGGTTTTGTCTGTATGAAAATTTTTGCTTGGAGTCAGATTTAAGCCCCCCCTGTGATACGCGAAGTCGGATAGGCCTATTACGTTTCCGTGAGATAGGAATCAAGAAAACGACTTGACATTTGTTCTGTCGCAATCTGCCATGTGATAAATATTGTCTCTTTCTAAAGCTTCTATAGCACATATGTTTTGACTGCATGGTTCTGACAATGTTATTTCTAGAGAAGGTAGTAGTGTGACTAGGTGTCTTTTATGGACCTGCGAGCCTCTTCTCATAAACCCATACTTAATCGGGATGTTTAATATTAATCTCTATTTCTAACACTGAAAGATTACGAAATTAGAAGCCAACGGATTTGCAGCATCACCTAATATAGGTGTAATAATTACGGACAGATTTGAAACTTCTCGCTTCTTTATTTCACTCTCTCTAAGAGCCTGAAGCTAGTCCCAACATGATTAGGCACTGGTATCTATGATACCATTCTGATCTACAAAATTTACGCTAGTTTAATTGAGATGATATTACACAATCAGAAAATCGCATGGGGTTTCCTTCGCGATAAATACGACCTAAGATCGAGATACAGACGGTTACTTCCGAGCACTGGCCACACAGCGCCTCATGACGTACGCGATGGAGGTAGCTCAGAGGCTGCTAGCCCAAGTGGAAGCAATGCAACTAGCTACTATCGCAGGTACCCATTCAGTGCGACCCCTACGCAGACTAAGTTACTTCCGTCATGCGCAAATACGGCTGGTAGCTTACCTAGTCATGAATAAGGTGCCCCACTAGGACCTCCAGTGCCACCTACGTTTGCCAATACATGTCTGTACAATTGACACGTCCTGAATCAAGGAAAAAGACAACGCTAAAGGCCCAGATAGCTAGTGGTTAGGCAGCTGATCGATAAAATATGCGGGGAAACGAGGAAAAAAAGAACTGGCATTGCGCAGCAGTGGCCAAGGACCCAAAAAAATACAGCGAGAGTCAAGAGTTATTTGCAGACATGATGAGACTATCCAGAAGCTAGACATACTTACCCGTATTGAGAGTGCTACGAGACCAGCTTTCCCGGTCAAAATTGGTTCAATGGAACAGCAGTCCTGGATGCAGATGGAACATCCAACCGGGAGCAGTTGATGCTCTAGGAAAAGAGAACGATGTTAACATTGCTAAGATTCCCTGCCCGAGCAAGAAGAACTCCTATAAGGCAGATTAGTCTATTGCGATATATACTACTAGGGAAACCGACACCAAATGCTTAGTAGAAGGGAAATATTTCGACATAGCAGAAGAATCTGCATATACTGCAATCTTTTGAACTGCGAGCAGGATCAGCTCAATGTTTCAACTGTCAAGAGAGAGGCCAGAAGGCCATTGCGTGTAAGAAGACTCAGACCTGTGCCAAATGTGCAAATGAAGGACACCACTACAGTGCCTGCCAGACTGTAAATGTGTTTTCTGCAAGGAACCACACTGGAAGAAAGTCGTATCGTAGGCCTATCAAGATCTCAAGATTACCATGTCCCCAACCAGCCCGGAAGAGCTCAAACTTCAGCGCTCTATATTAGGGCGAACCCTAGCGGCGCGATCCAAGCATGGTGACTTCGCTGACTACCACGAACGGTTCAGCCCTCAAGATGCACATCTCTTTTGTTGATGTCGCACGAAAGAAGTTACCAATACACTTCCTTTTCTGCTAGATTGCAAAAAGAAACATTGCCCGGCCCCCTAGACCTCCTAGATCCCATCTGCAATCAACCTCTTCCTTCTAAACACTCCAAAAAGCGCCATTAAACTAGGGTCTGATTCTCAGAGTCTCGATTCTTCGAGGATATGTGTCCTCGACGCCCTCTTCTTACCACCTAAGCTAAGGAATCAATACCAATTTTGTTATGTTCCTTTTGTCTTCTTACCTTTTCTTTCCTTTCATCTTAAGTTCTATCACTTGAACAGGCTGGATTCGGTCATGGTGAGTAGGTGGACTACTGCAGCTGGCAGTAACGCCCAGCAGTTATACGATATCTACCATCCATCCGACCATGGCAGCTATGCAAAAGTGCCAAAGGCTCACTTCTTGAAAACTATTCTTATGCACTCAGGGCTTATCCACTAGCGGCCTTTATCCCAATAGGGAACGGGCAGGCAGTGACTAATTACGGCTTATGGCTGTTAAACAATGTCACACACACACACACACACACACACACACACACACATGAATCTGTGTTGTATGAGGTATGAGATTATGAAGCTATCTACATCCTGTTCATGCGGGCTCATTTGCTGTATGCGATGGAATTTGGAAGACAGATAGACCCTTCGGCCGATAGATAAACTACTACAGTACGTTAGGGATAGTCGGATTTCAACGCAAGTGCCTAAGTGTCGTTACAGGTGTATAGAGGATTATCTATCTTTCCTACTACGTATTGCACAAGCCATACTCTCTTGACTTGTGGCTTCAATGGGACTATATCCAGGGTAGTTGCAACTCTGATGCTTTTTGTATACATGGCCCCTAAAAATGTTAGTTCAACTAAAGCCGTGAAGTTGAACTGCCGAATCGGTACCTATTTCTTACCTCAGACTAAAAATATTTGTAAATCGGACATCCATACACTCGCTTCCGCCGACACATTCCATGATATCTCGTATAGAAGGAAGCTGTGCTATTGGGCGATTCACAGAGGGTTCACATACTTTGGCCCTTTTGGGTAATGTTATTTCAGCTGGCATGGTGCTGTAGTTATCTCAGTTGAGATGTCACAGTAGTTAAATGTTTTTAAACGACGAAAGACCACCACCACTCTATAATTAGCTAAACTAGAGTTACGTTATCTCCCTCGCCGACCTCAATGAACGGGCAGAAACCTTTACGTAGTGTTGGGGATCAGTATTTGCAGTCGAGCCAGCTCCTCGACTGTTTGAGGAAGCCGAGATCTGCCAAAAATCGAGCATAAAGGATTAATGGCCTGAGACATCATTCGCGCTGCTTGGCATGGAAGTCGGATTCGAACTCCTAATATGGAAACTTGACTTGTGTATTTATTTCCATTCTTGGCTTAGTAGGTGCGTTCTGAGGGAACTGAACCATCCTTGTGTAGCTGGAACTCAACTTGACACGTGACGGGCGCACTTTTTGGAATAGTGAGGCCTCAAAGACTGCTGGTTGTTATTGATTGATTGATTGATTGATTCATACACGCATCTAAGCCTAGTGGCCGGCGGCGCCTTCTAATTGGGCAGCGGGCGTACTACCGTATAAAAGCATAAATCAACGTTAACGTGCCAAGACGCTTCCGGCTTGACGCTGACTTAGTCAACTCCACGCGAAAGTCTCGACACGTATCCGTATCCAGATCCGAAGACCACCAACAACAGATAACGAGCGAACAGAACGCCGAACCAACAAAGGAAATGTGTATATATACAAAATGAGTGAAGGATCTCGGTGCGGGGTGACGTGATATTTATGTTTTGGTGCCCGGTTCTATTTCCAAACGTGTCAAGTGGCTGATCCGTCCAAGCCGAATCAACATGGTTACTCTTCATCAGGGTAGTGTCGCACTCACTGTGAGCGCGTGGTTGTTAAGGGGGTTACGTGATGGAACTGCGTCAATAGACCAGTCCGCATCATAAATTCAATACTCTGCCGAACCCACTGAGGTTCGCTAAGGAGCTTCCGATAATCTGTTTCGCGTGCTTCTTTCCAGAGAGTCTCCATACGCAGGTTTATATGGGTAGGACACCGTATGAGGACGTGGGCCGTATCCTGATCCCCAAGGCCACATTCGCATTGAGGTGAGTCTTCAATCCGTACACTCGCTAGGAAGCTGCGTAGCGCTGATTTACCTGTTTGTAGTTGGATTAACACTGAACTCCAAGCCCGTCGTAATCCCTCGTGCAGCTGCAACACCATCTTCGTTGGTGCTTTGATTATCCGATAGAGATGCCGTCCATGGTTGGCATGCTCCCACTGTTCCTTCCACCTCTTTGCAAAGCCTGCATGTAGCCTCTGGCGACACACTGCCATAAGGATAGTTGACTGATTTGGAATATACGACATTCGTGCGGCGTGTGGTGTAGTCTGATTGGGTGCGCTGATCCTGGCTATGCGGGCGTTCTCCTGTGTACGCCGTGTCGCCTCGACTGCAGCCAACTTTGCCAGCTGGTCTGCTTTCTCGTTGCCTGGGACCCCTTCGTGGCCTGGCACCCACTGTAGTCGTACACGCCATCGAGATCGGTTGTCGCGTAGGAGGCCCAGGTGTCGTACGATCCGTCGAAGGATATACTGCCCAGAGGACCGCCCTGGCTGGCACGTGGCGCGTATTGCGGCTTGATTATCTGTGTAGATTGTGGCTTCGTGTGGGTTGTCGTCGCATGGCTGGCTTCGGAGTAGGATTTCCAATGCCGCATCGATTCCCTCCAGTTCCCCTGCATAAACAGTATGTGTGTCAGATGAGCCTACTGGCTTATAAGCCTGTCCTATTGATGAGTAGACCGCTGCCCCAATCCCATTGTCAAAGCCGCTCCCATCGGTAAAGAACTGTATTGTTGTATCTGTTCCTGAGATTG